AAGCCCTGGGACAGCCCGGGGGCACGGGCAGGCGGGCGCCCGGGGGGCACTAGCTGTTAGTCCGGTGTTTCTTGAGCACTGTGTAAACGTCGTCCACTTTGCTGAGTCTCTCGAAGAAGGGCAGCAGGTCTAGCAGCTCCGTGTCTGCCATGTTATCGAACCACGAGGCCACGGGCACCTGCAGGTATGGGCAGGGCACTGGCTGAGGGGGACCCCTGTGCCCCTGGCAAGCCCCAGCCCCAGTCCCCATTGGTCCATGCCAGAGGTGGTGACATCTCGGTGCCTGTTTCTCTCCTCCAGTTGCTGCTGGGGGACACGGGGATCCAGCTACTGCCCTTGTGCCCACAGCCAGCCTGGACCCCCCGGAGATGCCAGCTGTGGGGAAGGACCGCCCCCAACTGCAGAGTGCATGGAGACCCCTGTGCTGCCAGGGTGCGGGACATGCTTACCCCATATTCCCCTCTGGGCACACACTGGCCCTCGTGGGGCTGATAGCTCTGCCCTATATTCCCCCAGTGCCACCCCATAGCTCCCTGCACACCCAGCACCCCCAGTCCCACCCCCGCCCCTGCTCCCCAGCTCGCCCCCCAGCGCAGGGCACATACGGCATTGTCAGGGTGGAAGATGTAGGAGGCGGGTGAGTTGTCCACGATGATGATCCGGCGCAGGTCGCGGCCCAAGCGGCTCAGGTCCTTCACGTAATTGCCCCGGTGGAAGACGCAGGATTCCCGGAAGAGCCGGGCCCGGAAAGCCCCCCATTTATCCAGCAGGTCGGCCACGGGGTCTGCATACTGGGGGCAGAGAGGGGGTCACTGGGGCACAGAGTATTCCCTAACCCTGTGTCACCGCTGCCCTCTGAGCTGCAGGGGAGCCAGTAGGACCTGGTGGGCGCAGCAGGACCTGGACACCTGAGTTCTGTCCCCAGCTCTCTGCAGATGCCAGCTTGCCCCATGCCTCAGTTTCCCCTTCAAGTGTTCAGACTATGCTTGGGAAGAGGTGGGCAAAGGCATCCAACAGCCAGCCATGCCTGCAGGTAGGCAGGGGACCACTGGTGCCCAGGGGTGGCAGAGAAGGGGAAAGGCAGTGCCCAGGGGCCAGTGGTGCCCAGGGGGGGCAGAGAAGGGGGACGGCAGTGCCCAGGGGCCGCCAACAGTGGTCGGGGCAGGTGGGCGCTCACCTTGGCCAGGCTGGCAGTGAAGAGCACGCACTCGAACAGCTCGCCCATGCGCTGCAGGAACTCGTCCACGTGCGGCCGCTTTAGCACGTACACCTGGGGTGCAGAGGGGCAGGGGTGAGGGCAGCCCATCTGCGTGCAGCCCAGCTCTTACCCAGGCACATCCCTATACCCCACGAGAGCGCCTCACCCAGCACCCCCCATACCCACCCCCGGGGGACGCCCCCAGCGGATGGGTGCCGTCCCCCTGACCCCGGCTGGCGCAGATGGCTCCCTGCCCCTGCCGCCATGTCTGGGAAGGGGGGCAGAGCACTGCCTGCCCTTCGCTGTGGGGGTGAGGGGGCAGGACCCAGAGGTGCCAGCCTAGGGGGTGGGCCGGAGGGACACCATGGCCCTGGTGGCCCATCTGGGGTGAAGCGTCCAGCAGGCTCCAGAGCCAAGTAACCTAGAACAGGCTGACTGCCAAAACCACAGCCTATCCTGGATTACTTGAACCCGGCGCCAGCCACTGCAGGATGAGGACCCACCAGGTCTGTACCTCCTCCCTATGCTGGAAGGAGGGGTGGCCACCTCTGACCCCAAAGTGCCAGCCCTGGGCTCCCTGCCACCTTCAACATGGGCACCTGCCCCACTGTGCCACCTCCTGCCCTGCTGTCCCTGCCTCCCAAGCGCTGGGACAGCTCCTGGCACCCACAGGTGGGTGAGAGGGCGAGGAGCTGAGTCCCCTGCCCACTGGGCAAGTCCCCATTACCTGGTGCATGATGCCATCGATTTCCACGGGAATGATGAAGTCAGCGTTGTTCACCGGCTGCGGAGGGCACGGCAGGGTCAGTGCGAGGCGCATACCCCTGCCCAAACGCCGCCCACCCCCTGCCTCCTGCACACCCCATGCCAGCCCTGGAGCCTCCATCCTGCATCCTCCTTGGAGGTGCCCACCTGGCCTGGCCCGGGGACACCCTCATCCAAGCAGGGAAGGCAGCAGGGTTGTGCTGGACACGGCCTCACACTGGGCACACAGGGCTGGTCGCAGGTGCGTGAGGCACTGGGCACCAGTTTAGGGGACGCTTAAGCAGGCTGAGGCTGGAGCATGGGGCAGGAGGTGTGGGTTAGGGAGAGATGGGGCACTAGGGTGGGCAGGGTGGGGGGCAGTGCCCGGGGCATCTCCCACCTTGAAGGAGCTGTGCACCAGCGTCTCATCCAGGTCGATGACCACGCACAGCTTGCTGGTGTCCTGCGGCTTGATCTCAGGCAGGAGGTGTTTGACGGCAGCCTGCGGCAGAGACACAGACCTGGGGCTGGGGGCATGGCAAGGGACTCGCCCTCCTGACCCATGCCCAGCCCAAGGGAGGAGAACAGACATGGGAGCAGGTCCCTTTTGTGCCCTGTACTCCCTTGCCTCACACAGGGGAAGCACTGAGGAAAGGCAGCTGCGGCTCAGGCACATCCCAGCACTGCACCCCAGAGCCAAACGCTTCACAGCCCATCTCGTGCACCCACAAGGGGTACAGGCACGTGAGGGGTGCACGGAGGGGCCTGGCGGGCGGGGGGGGGTACCTTGGGCCGTGCCGTTCTCCTCCACCAGCAGCGGGGCGTTGTTGTTGACGGAGAAGGGCTCCGTGTCATCGTGGCACAAGCAGCAGAAGAGGGACTGGAGGATGCTGCGGCTCCGAGGCTTCTTGGTGGACGATGGGCTCTGGGCACCTGCAAGGCCGCAAGGGGGTTAGTGGGCAGGGGGCACCAGCAAGCTGCCAGGATGCCTGGCTCCCCCCAAGGGGTGGAGGGCAGAGGGGTGCTGGGCTGGTGTTCTGGGTGCAAATGAGGTGAATTTGGGCCATCGCTGGTTTATCTCCTCCCTGTTTCTCATCCCCGGCTCCTGCCCACCCCTGCTTGGCCCGGCAGGCACCCAAAGGTGGGTCCATCCTCAGAGCACCAGCTGATCCCACACAGCCGAGCAACGCACCTCTCTGCCAGTCCCCACAACCTGAGGGCGCCCAGAGGGTCTCCACGGGGCAGGACTGACCCCTTGTGTCCCTTGTCCACCTGCAGGGGCCAGCAGGAAGCACGGCAGGGCTGCACCACGGCTCGCCCTCATCTGCCACAGCACCCTGGGGTGCAAAGAGCTGGTCCCCCAGTTCTGGGTGGTTTCCGGGGGGAAAGCCCCAGCCAATAAGCATAGGAGGCACCAGAGTAGGGGGGCATAATCTCCCCTCCCTGGGTGCCTTATCAGCTCTGAGCACACGTCCGGCCGCCCTTCCTCCCCCGCCACGGCCCGCGCGGTGCCCTGCCAAGCCCTGACGCAGGGGCAGAGCCGGCACGCAGGGAAACACAAATATTAAGAGAGGGCTCGGGAGGGACCACACACAGCCCCTCACCCTAGGCATGCTCCCAGCCCTCGGCATCCCCGACCAGCACCCTCGAGTGACCCTGGGGTGCCCCTACCCCTTTGCACACGCCTGCCATCCTACATGTTGCCACGCTGCTGGAGACCCTTCAGTAACAGAGCGGGCACAGCCCAAAAGTCAGGCGTGTACCCACCCCAGGCACCTCATAGGGTGCGATGGGCACCCTGGCTTAACCCCGCGGGCACATGGCAGCGGTGCCAGCTCCAGTGCAGTGCAGTGGACTCAGGCCCCCAGCCAGGGCTGGGCCTGAGGAACGGGCAGAAGTCCCTGCCGACAGCGCCCAGGGACATGCGCGTGGGCAAATCATTAACCCGGGCTGGCTCCCACCCCAGCTGTGGGCGCCGAGCTCCTGTCACCCACACTGAGCACAGCTGATGGGGTGGGAGCCCCCAGCCCATCCCAGCAGGCACAAACACCTCTGTGCCACCCTGGTGCCGGCAGGAGACCCTAGGGCCCTCCGTATGTGTCACCCCACCAGTACAGCTGTAGGACCAGGGAATGTGTCCCCCCAGCAGGCAGCAGGTGAGGGAGCACCAAAGGCACCTTCTTCTTAACCTCTGGCCTCAGGGTGGTCGCAGGGATGTGGGGTGGGGGACAGTGGGGACACCCCTGTCCTGGGCACACCCGGACGCCTTGAATTCCCACCCCATCTAGCCCCAGTCTCACCTGGCCCTGGCCCAGCTCAGCACCCTGTTGATGGGGGATCACCCCCAGCCCTAGGGTGCCCCATGGCATGGGCGCTGCTCAGACCTGGCTGCAATTCCCTGGGGGCGGCCGTGTCCGGCCTCTCCGGGCAGGACCT